CTATACAATTGTGTTGCTGTTTTAATTATTACTTGCAAAAGTACTTAAAAGGGAATTAAACACTCTTAATATACTAGCAGTCATAATACCAATTTCTTGCTCATGAACATGTGCAATCTGAAATCTAAAATTAAAATTCGAACGAAACCTTTGTCATTCATTATGATTTTACTGGTTTATACAGGAAATATCAGACCGAGTTAGGTACACAGCAGCTACTTCAAGATAACGAAAAATTGAAATACAAACTTCCCAGCAAACATGAGACATGTTCCGAAGATAGTAAATAAGATGTAACCATAGTGGTAACATATATCATGTCCAAATAATTTCATCTCGACGCGTTGGGCGTGTAACGAATAAAGTCTATAATGAATTCAAAAACTGCAAAAGATAATGGAAAGATCACGAAAAGAAATTGAGGAGATGATTGCGCATAATGTGGAAACGTATCTTGAGGAAAATGGTGAAAACTATGATTCATCGGTTCAAAGTTACTTAACATATTAAATACTGTTTTACGTCAGAGAGACTACATCCGATCTGTAGTAAGTACATTGTGATCCGGCGGCGATAAAGAAATTTTTCACGTGACAGACGTACGCTACCGACACCAGTATGCCATAAGTTCTGGAGGGCGACGGCAAATATGCAGCTCTAACAGACATACCTTATCAAATGATCGCCACCCTGCGGGTCGGCTCTCGGTTATTGACGGAATGGTGGAAGTTTTCGGTGACTGGATCTCAAAAATCAGTCAAATCTTTCGATGAAGGTTGAATCTTCGTTCGTATGGCGACCAGTGCCTGTCGAAATCGTCCGCAACCAGTTCTTCGTTTAAAATGTCGAGAAAAAACATTCGTTCGCTCGTTCGTAACTACCCAAGAGTTACGAGCGAATCTCAATACACTGATCGAGTAAGGTAATTAGTCGTTTCTTGTGTCGAAAAGTTCGTTAAAATCTACCGAAACCCGTTGGACCTCCTCCCACGAACGCACCACCGAGCAAGAGCTCCGGGAAAGATTCGCAAATGCATCCAGTATGAAACACGTTCGATTTGTAACTCGAACTTCGAGATTTTAACCTCGATAATCGAAACTACACGTAGAATCGATTACTTGGATTTGAACTACACATACGTACGTGTTTCATACGGTCATTAGTCAACGTAGATTATTTTTGCTTGCAATTAATAATTTTAATAGTAAGTGATTATTATTGTGTAAGAGTTCACTAATCAGGACGAGCACACGAGCATAGAATTTGGGTATGTATTATAGATACAGACATTCGTAATTTCATCTTCTTCCGTAAAGTTAGACAAAATTCTATAGGTTCGTTTACTCGTGATTTATCATTTATCGCAAAAAGATAAAAAATTTATCTTTTTTTCCTTTATCATCACCGCTATTTAATGAATTCAGAGAATTCAAAGAATTCGTATTCAGGTATTTTATTGCGACGTTAAAATAAATTCCATTCGCAATATCTGTGTAACTGCCAATTAGTCTCCACTGAAATATCTTTAATGGAT